TGAATAGATAGGAGATGATGATGATAGAATAGATAGATAGATAGATAGATAGATAGATAGATAGGAAGGGAAGGGAAGAAAGAAGGGTTATTTCCTCAAATTCTCCCATGGAGTAGACACATACATTTTGTAGCTTTAATGGTATTTGTGATCTCACAATTTGGATAGCACATTGTAAGTCAAAAGCCCCAAAGAGATAACTTGGGCATCGTGGGATCATGCTCCATGGGATTCATACTAAAATGTATCTCTGCATGAGAAATTAGTTTTCCTTCCAGCACCTCTCTAGGCAAAGGCACTGGGCAGAGGTCGCTGCATGTTCCTCTCCAGGCCCATCTTGTCCAAAAATACACCTGAACCAGACCCTCCTCCCACACCACTCCGCACACACCGCTATTAAGTCCTTGGTTCATTCTGCTGATTGTTTACTTGTTCATCCGCCCCTTGGTCCATGACTTCTCTTCCTGTGCTCTGACAGTCAGGATCATGTGTCTTCTCTTCTTGAATTTGGAATTTTTGTACAATATAACCATGCCCACAAAAACATCATATTAAATACACTTTGGTGGTAAGAGCTGTCGTAAGGATACATGGCAGTCACTGATTGCCATGTCACCATATGCCTCCTTCTGTGAAGCTTGGTTAAGAAAATCAAAATTGAGAAATCCAAATGTATAGCATCTAGGATTCTGCTCAGGGCTAATTGTCTAGAACTAAATCCTCAAGGTCTGCTTCTCTTGGTGCCCTTTTGTGACCTCTGCCTGACTCTAGCCCCAAGCCTTCAGTCTAGATCTTTCTATATTAAGATTCAATCCAAAGAAGATAATTCTGGGGGCACCTAGGTGATTCAGTTCATTAAGCATCCAACTTCAGCTCAGGTCATGATCTCACAGATTGTTGGTTGGAGCCCTGTGTCAGGCTCTGTGCTGACAGCTCAGAGCCTAGAGCTGCTTTGGATTCTGTGTCTCCCTCTCTCTCTGCCCCTCTCCTGCTCACACTCTGTCTCTCTGTCTCTCAAAAATGAATAAATGTTAAAAAAAAATTTAAAAACAAAGAAGGTAATTCTGGTCGGCTTTGATCTTGCTGAAAAGTCTCAAGCACTTTGGGATTCTCTGGTTTTGCCGGAGATTCTGCCTATTTTAGTTTTTTTTCTCATATGTGTGAACAAGGATGCATATCACACTGTTATCACTGAAATAGCATTGGAGGAAAGGTGATCAATTATCTTTGCTTTTATACATCTTTGTGCAATAATGTTCCAATCGTTCCAGTGAGATTGCATTGCTATTTTAATTTCAAAAGCTCAAATTAAAAAAAAAAACTTTAAAATTTTTTTAAATATTCAATCCATTTTGAGTTCATTTTTGTCCATTTTTGTAAGTGGTGCAAGATAGTCCAGCTTCTTTGTTCTGCAGGTGATTATCCAGTTGCCCAACATTTATTGAAGACATTGTCCTTTCCCCATTGAGTATTACTGGCTCCCTTGTCAAATATTGGTTGACTGTGTAGACTTGAGTTTATTTCTGGACTCTCAATTCGGTTCCATTGGTCTGTGTGTCTGTTTTTATTCCAGTACCATGCTGTTTGGGCTGCTATAGCTTTGAAATCAGGACATGTGATGCCTCCAGCTTTATTCTTCTTTCTCAGGATTGCTTTGGCTATTTAGGGGTCTATTTCTTTCTATTTCTGTGAAAAATGCCATCAGAATTTTGATAGGGATTGCATTCAATCTATAGATGACTTTGGGTAGTATGGACAAATATTTAACAACACTAATTCTAAAAATACTAACAATACCAATACAAAAATTTAACAACACTAATTCTTCCAGCCCATGAATATGGCGTCTCTTCCCATTTATTTGTGTCTTCTTTAATTTCTTTCACCAAACTTTTTTTTTCTTAAACTTTTTTTAAATTTTTTTAATGTTTATTTATTTTTGAGAGAGAGGGAGAGAGAGGGAAAGAGCGTGAGTGGAGGAGGGGTGGAGAGAGACACAGAATCCAAAGCAGGTCCCAACCTCCAAGCTGTCAGCACAGAGCCTGATGCGGAGCTTGAACTCACAAACTGTGAGATCATGACCTGAGCCAAAGCCGGACGCTCAACCGACTGAGCCACCCAGGTGCCCCAAAGTCTTAAACTTTTAAATGTACAAAGTTCTCACTTCTTTGGTTAGATTTATTCTTAATTATGTTTTTGATGCTATTGTGAATGGGATTGTTTTCTATATTTATTTTCCTATATTTCATTGTTAGTGGACAAAATATAACTGGCTTCTGCATATGGATTTTGTGTTCTGCAACTTTACGGAATTGTCGAACCTTCTAACAGGGTTCTGGTGGACTCGTTAGGCTCTTCGGTATGTAGGATTATATTGTGTGCAAACAGAGACAGTTTTACCTCTTCTCTTCTGATTTGGATGTATTTTATTTCTTTTTCTTGCCTGCTTGCTCTGTCTGGGACTTCCAGGGCTGTGTTGCATAGGAGAGGGGACAGTGGGCACCCTTGTCTTGCTCTGATCTTAGAGGAGAAGGACTCAACCTGTCACCGTTGAGTGTGATGTTAGCTGGAGGCTTGTCACATGCGGCCTTTGTTATGTTGAGATATGTTTCTTCCCCACTCAGTCTCTTGAGAGTTTTTATCATGAAAGATGATGAATTTTGTCAAATGCTTTCGCTGCACCTACTGAGGTGGTCGTACAATTGTCATCCTTCATTCTACTAATGTCGTCATCAAGTTGGCTGATGTGCAGGTGTTGAACCACCCTTGCAACCCTGGGACAAATCCCACTTGACCATGGTGCGTGATCCTTATGATTGTTGTTGAATTCAGTCTGCTGACATTTTGCTGAGAATTTATACATCTATGTTCATCAGGGATATTGGCCTATAGTTTTCTTTTGGTTCCTTATCTGGCATTGGTATCAGAGTAGTGTTGGCCTCACAAAATGAGTTTGCAAGTGTTCCCTTGTCTTTAATTTTCTGGAAGAATTTAAGAAAGATTGGTATTAATTCTTCTTTAAATATTTGGTAGAGTTCATTAGGGAAACCATCTGGTCCTGGGCTTTTCTTTGTTGAGAGGTCTTTGATTACAGATTCAATCTCTTTTCTAGTAACGGTCTGTCCAGATTTTCGATTTCTTCATGGTTCAGTCTTGGTGTGTTTTATGTTTCTAGGAATTTATCCACTTTTTTCTAGGTTATCCGATTTGTTGCCGTGCAGTTTTTCGTACTAGTCTCTTAAGATCCTGTGGATTTCTGTGGTGTTACTTGTAATGTCTCCTCTTCCCCTTCCAATTCTGTTAATTCGAGTCTTGTCTTTTTTTTTCCCGGTTAGTCCAGCACTAGGGTCCACAGCCAGGACCGAGGTCTGTCTTGTCTATTACCTGACACACAGGTGGGCGACACTCCCTCCAGGTTCCCTTGGTGCGAGACACTGGCTCCCACAACCCCCACAGAGAGGCTCTTGGCCATGGACGGAGGTTGAATTGCTGTTGAGGAACAGGCCCTGGGGACATGTTGGTGGCCATCTTGGTGACATCCTAAGCATTTTATCTTGTAAGAATTCTGCGATGTCAGTGCAATTACAATAAAATCCCAACTGTTTTTAGTTTGTTTTCTCAATGGGAATAGGGGAACTTATATTTGTTTTCTAAAACCTGACAAATGTGAAAATAATCAAACTTTTTAAGAAAAAAAAGAATGACAACTTGTCCTCAGGACGTGAAAATACACTCTGAAGCTACTATAATTAAAATAGCACCGTCTGGACAGGAGGACAGGAGGAGAGGCCAGCTGGTTCTCAGGGTCCAGGGGAGCCAGCGGGACGGGCAGTGGCTCAGCAGCAGAGGGTGGGATCTTCTTTAAATGGTGCCAGGGGGTGCTCTCTACCAGGAGGGAAAGAAGCCCAGACCCTGCAGCACGCCAGCACACTTCAAATGGATCAGAGCTGGGTGTGTAAAAATTATAAAAATATTGGAGGAAACAAAAGCAAGCTGTCTTTATCATCTCGGGTTAGGGAGCTTCCTCCTAAGAAGCAGCTGAAGAAAAAGTGTCTGATTTCACAAATTAAACCTTAGACATTATGAATGTCAAGGGGCGCGTGGCTGGCTCAGTTGGAGGACCGTGCGACTCTCGGTCTCGGGGTCATGAGTTCAAGCCCCACCTTAGGTATGGATGGAGACTACTTAAATAAAAGTAAAAACTTAAAACAAAAGGAAGTTTTGAATGTCAAAAACTGCACGAACCGCGTCGAAAGCTAAGTGACAAGTGGAGAGAACATATGTGTGGCACACAGACCAGGAGTCTGATCCCCAGTGCGCCAAGGGTGCGCCCCAAACAGGCCACGACGCGGTGGAGGTAGGGAGTCCACGAGTGGGCAGAAAGAGGAAAAGTTAAAACCGTGCCCAGCGATGCTCAGTCTCATTCACAATTAGAGAAATGCAGGTTTAAAAATAGAAGACTCCTGGGGCCCCTGGGTGGCGCAGTCGGTTAAGCGTCCGACTTCAGCCAGGTCACGATCTCGCGGTCCGTGAGTTCGAGCCCCGCGTCGGGCTCTGGGCTGATGGCTCAGAGCCTGGAGCCTGTTTCGATTCTGTGTCTCCCTCTCTCTCTGCCCCTCCCCCGTTCATGCTCTGTCTCTCTCTGTCCCAAAAATAAATAAAACGTTGAAAAAAAAAATTAAAAAAAAAAATAGAAGACTCCGCCCTTCAGAGACACGGCAGCCTTCACAGGTGGGACCCTAGCGTCTGTGCACCCTGGATGGTGCTGGGGTGGGCCGGGAGCCCGGGAGGGGCACCGGTGGGCGCAACCAGGCCAGCACAGACCCCACACCCACGCGCCTGGGGCCCCGTGGTGGGGGGAGGCGCTACCTTGGCCGTGCTTGTGCCGGCCCTACAGAGCAGGCGTGGTCCCCAAAAACACCCGTTCCTGGCCAGAAGAGCAGAGGCCGTGTGGGGACAAGCCACGCTCCACGGCACCGACAGGCTCTTTGGTGCCGCAGGCTCACATCTACTCTCTGGGGGCCACGCTGAAGGCGGCCCTCGAGTATGTGGCCGAGCCCGAGCCCGAGCCCGAGCCCAGGCTGAGCCAGGACCTGGAGGCCTTACTGAGCCAGATGCAGGCAGAGAACCCCAGGGACCGGCCAGACCTCCAGGTAAAGACTCGTCGGCCATCCCCGCACTTCACCCCCAGGCCGAGACCTGAGACCCTCCCCACGGCCCGATGCCCCAGCACACACCCACGGGACCCTCCTGTCCCCATACCTCTCCCCTCTGTCATACGGGCTCTCCCCCCGGGGTTCGGTGGCGTTGGCATTTTGCTTAAACAAGAACTTGATTTCTTATTATGCATTGTTATTATGAAGAGGCGTGGCTTATAATTCTCGTGGGCTAAACAGAATCTCCTGGTTTCCCGTAATCCCGGGACACAGGGTGTTTTTATGCCAGAAAGTAGACGTGGCGGGCGGGCGGGCTGTCGGCCACAGGGCTTCCTCGTGGTGAGCGGTCCTGGCTGAGGCGCTCACACGCGTGTCTGCAGAGCATCATAGCGCTGTGTGAAAAGAAGATGCTTTTCACGTCCTCCTGCCGCCTGTGCCGGAGCCTCTCGGCCGTCGGGAGGAGGGTGCTCTCCATTGAGTCTTTTGGAGCATTTCAAGGTAAGCACACGCACACACGTACGCGCACGTGCGCACGCCTGCACGTACCCACTCACATACGTGCCTGTGAACGTGCACAGGTCTCAGCACAGATCACACACGTGTTCACACCTCTGTACTCTCACACCATGAAACACCCACGTGTACACATGCAAACAGACCACGTGTGCCCCACAAGCACACGTGTTCACACTCACATTAACACGCATGAAAGTGCAAAGTCATACACCTCTTCATCCTCGTACACAAGCATGCACACTTGTGCACAAAGACAGCACTCTCCCACACATACAAACCCGTTGTGCAAATGTGCACACAGATCGACACGTACACACTCACCCTCTCAGTCACTTTGTGCACGCTTTGCAGACCCCCGTGCGGCTGGGGGTGAAAACCCAGGTCCTGGTGAGAAGTGACCGGTATTAGGCCTCTTGTCTCTGTCCTAGTCTGTGAGCAGGTCAGTCCCTGGACACGGGGACATTTCACTCTTCGTTTCCGTTTGCCAACACCACGCAGTGTCTCTGAAACCCGTTGCTTCTCTGCTATGGAAGCTGTTGCTGAAGCACCTGGGACTTTCTCGGCTCACGTGAGACTCTGGCAGGGTCTCAGGTGGCCTTCCGAACAAATGTCCGCATCGCTCTGCCCTGTGCCTGCAGCGAGGAGCCTGGAGGGCCCTCGGGGGAGGCACGTGTGGCCGGAGGGACCCGCCGCACCGGGGACCACGGGCCTGAGGCATGGCTCCAACAACGAAGCAGAGAGCGGTCACCACCACGCGGGCTGCAGGCCACAAAAGGGGCCGTGTGTCTCTAGTGTGGTTCACACAGACACAGACACGTGTGGGGGACATTGTGCACCAAGACAGGGCAGGGTTGCAGCCAGATTCAGTGTCTTCCTTCGGGGAACATCACTATGTAATTGTGCCAGAAAGCCAAGGCTCTTTGGACAAGATGCTTGGATGACCTTGGGAAAACCCTGAGGGGGCTCAAGGAGGCTGGGGACGTGGCCCGGACCCTCTGGAGCCTCAGTATTTAGAATCAGCTGGGTTTTGTGATCAAGGAGGTGGATGAAGACGGGGAGGCATATACACACGCACACACAGATGGTGACACGTGGGGGGGGGAGCAGTGGGGGACCCAGGAGTGCAGGAGAGGAATCCCCATCCCCTCTGGTGACCCGCAGGGTCACTGGCCGCGTCCCCCACAGCAATCTCCTTGCTTTTGCCCAGATGTCAGCGAGATCTCCTGCAGCGGGAGGCCGGCGACAGGAAGCACAGGGCCCAGAAAGCAGCCCGGGGGCCGCACTGCGGACGCAGAGGGCCCCGCCCAGCGCCCCGCCCACGAAGCCCACGGCGCCCCGGAGCAGCCCGCGGCCCTGCCTTCCAAGCCCCTACTGTCGGCCCCCGTGAGAAACGGAGAGCGGCTGGCCAGCCTCGTCTTGGACGCCCAACGCCCCCCGGGTGACCCGGAGAGGAGCTGCCTGAGGAAAGTGCAGACGTTCCCCAGGCTCCTGCCCGACGGCCCGGAGGCCAGCGCCCTCTGCCTGACGCTGGGCCCCCAGCTGCCCCCATCGGAGCTCTTCCCTCCAGACCCCAGGAAGGCCTTTCTGGAGGGGATGAATGGCCTTTCCAGCTACAAGACACAGCCCTCGGCCAGACTGCGGCCAGAGCAGGAGCCCGAGATCCGGCGGGGAGGACCCGGAGGCGCCGGCAGAGGTGGGGACGGGGCGTCTGGGGCGCCGGGCTGGGGCCCCACGGAGGAAAGCCCCGCGCCCCGCCCCAAGGCCCCTGGAGATGCAGGCCGAGAGCCCGGGACTTGCAGGGCTGAGGAGGGGATTCTGGACGGAGCTGGGGAGCCGGCTAGCACAGCCACAGAGCAGGTGGGTGATGCGGTTCCTGTCCCCGCGGAGCCCCGGGGCAGGAGGGGGGCGGGGCAGCACACACCCACTGCACACACACCCACTGCTGGTCCTTTACCACAAGGAAGGGAGTGAGCCTTCACCCCTGCTCAGGAATGTGCAAGCTGTATGCAAGCTACCTGGGTTCTGACGGAAGCTGTGACTACGGCCTCCCCCTGCCCCAGGTGTGGCCCCAGGTGTGGCCCCAGGCCAGAGCCTCCCCTGTGGCCCCCCTGGGGGTGCGGGGGGGGGGCGTCCCACAGAGCACCCCACACGCCCAGGCCTCACCTGGCTTCACCCAGCACGCAGCACCCCGCACATTCACCAAAGAGGCACACCCCTGCCTGGGGGGTAATGCTCTTTCATCTTCTTTAATTTAAATTTTAGTTGGTTAGCATGCAGTGCAACGTGGGTTTCATGAATAGAACCCAGTGATTCACCCAGTGCTCACTCCAGACAGCGCCCTCCTTAATGCCCGTCACCATCCAGCCCATCCCCCACCCACCTCCCTCCATCAACCTTCGGTTTGTTCTCCGTATTTAAGAGTCTCTTGTGGTTTGTTTCATTCTCTTGTCTTCTCGCCCCACTGCCCCTATGTTCATCTGTTTGTTTCCCAAGTTTCACACGCGTGAAACCATAGGGTATCTGTCTTTGACTGACTTCTCTCGCTTGGTGCCATACCCTCTAACTCAACCGTCATTGCAAACGGCAAGATTTCATTCTTGTTGGTGGCCGAGGAGTATTCCATCGTGCCTATCAGACCACATCTTCTTACGCAAACAATGCGCAGGGAGCTGCCTCCGCAGGGGGAGGCGGGGCAGCATCAGGCCCAGAAGGGGCATCCACCTCTGGGACACCGCCCCCAGCCCTGGCGCTCCACCCCCCCCAGCCCTGGGGCCCCGCCCTCAAACCCTGGCACCCCCTCTGAGGCTTGTTTTCTTTTTTTTTTTTTTTAATTTTTTTTTAACGTTTATTTATTTTTGAGACAGAGAGAGACAGAGTATGAACAGGGGAGGGGCAGAGAGAGAGGGAGACACAGAATCTGAAACAGGCTCCAGGCTCTGAGCTGTCAGCACAGAGCCCGACACGGGGCTCGAACTCACGGACCGTGAGATCATGACCTGAGCCGAAGTCGGACGCTTAACCGACCAGGCCACCCAGGCGCCCCTCTGAGGCTTGTTTTCAACGTCAGGCACTAACACCACGAGTTGGGGTTGCTCACGGGTCAAGCGTGGCGCCCTGCGCCCTCAGATCTTCGTCGATGCTGGGGCTCTGTGCAGCTGTCAGGACGGGGTCTCCCAGGGCAGCTGGGGTCTCCCAGGCCTGGTGGCTGCACCCCATCTGCTGAGACGGACAGGCATCTCCGTTCTGGGAGTTTGCACTGTGTTTAGTTGAACCACAGGTGTTCTGAGGGGCCTGCGGCCTTAAGCCCTTCTGTGTGGTGACACCTGGGCTCAGCAGGTCCCTCCCCAACGCTCTGTCCCCATGAGGTCCTCAGGCAAAGCCACCTGGGGGGCCAGTGTGCTGCAGGGCAGCGCTGGGCCCTCACCAGGGCACCAAAGGCCATGTTTCCCACCACGCTATGTTGACCCAGAGGACAAAAGGTCAACAGTCTGTGATTTATATTTGTATTCATATCCTGGTGAGGACCCAAGGGTAATTTACATAAAAAACATAGTTACCGTAAGGCAAATGTCTGTCCTGACGACCCCAGTGCACTGACACGTGCTTAACGTGCACATGCATGTGTCCCCACTCAGCTCACACGGCCTCCACTGGCCTCCTGCGTCCACCCAACCTCCACATCAGCTTGTGCAGAGAGAACTCCCAGTCACACACCTTAGCCCTGGACTTGGCTCACCTTCCCATGCCCAACAACCTCACAACGGCCCGCCTTCCAGATGGGTAAACTGAGGCACAGAGTGGCCATGCGCCCTCTTGGAGGGCGGGCAGCCACTGAGGGGCAGGGCTGACTGGGAGCCCAGCTACTGTCTTGACCACTAGGCTTCCCTGCCCCAGAGGCCCTGTGGGACCAGGGCCACGCAGACCTCCCCCCACCCCAGGCATCAGGGCACCCAGATCTCCACTGCGGAGCGTGAACAGGGTTCAGAGCTGGCTGCTTCAATCCCCACATGTAGCAGGAGGCTTGGGGTGCACCGCTCCCGGAACATGGGCCGCCAGCCAGGCACTGCAGAAACGGGGCTAGAAGGAGCAAGGCGGCTGCACCCCGCGCGGAGCGGGGTCAAGGGTGGAGACACTGCCTCTGGAACCTTCCCTAGAGCGTGCACTTCTGTGCCCCAAGTGTCGAGGCTGTGGTCCTAGCTCTTCCCGCGGCCTCGAAGTGGCGAACTACCTTCCAGCGGAGTGCGTTCTGACTCCAGGACTTTTCCGTGTGTAGCAGGGACGGGGGTGAAGCAAAGCTCGTGTCACATAAACTTTGCCCTCTCACCCGTTAAGCATGCGGTCCGGAGCTCCCAGCACAGTCACCCCGCAGGCAGCCACTCCCACCCTCTGTCCCCAGGACTCTCCCATTCCCCCAAATCGAAGGTCTGTCCCCGATCAGGTCCCCGTCCCCTCCCCGCCCCTGGCGCCCACCATCCGCCCTCTGTGTCTGTGAACGTGATGGCTCTGGGGACCTCGCGAGGGTGGAGTCACACTGGGCCTGTCTTTTTGTGTCCAGCTTCTGTCACTGGGCATCGCACCCTCAGGGCTCATCTGCCCCATGGCAGGTGTCTCCCTCCCGCGAGGCTGGGGGACGTCGTGCCGTGTGGACGGACCACTGCGTTTACCCGCTCATCCTCGGTGGACACTCGGGTCCCTTCCGCCTGTGGGCTCCTGTGAATCTGCTGCCGTGGACACGGGGGTGTCTGTCTGAGGCCCCGCTTTCAGTTCGGGGGGGGGCACCCGGAAGTGGGATCGCCCGATCATGTGGTGATTCTGTGTTTAATCTTGAGGACCCGCCACACCGTTGTCCACACGGCTGCACTGTCTGACATCGCCACCAGGGGCACGGGGTTCTGATCCTTCACGCCCTCCCCCCTCGTGTCCATGTGGGGACTTGGCCCACTTGGTCAGGAGCGCACTGTGTGGGAGGCACATCCCACCCTGATTCGAGGTGGTTCCTGCCCAGTTCCCTCCCCCAGCGGTGGGCTGAGCTGACCCCACATACCCACTCTCACTGAGATGTGACTTCTCCCCACCAGGGCATCTCCCTGCAGGACCTCCTGTGCCAGCTGGGCCGGCCCTTCAAGGAGTATGAGCTCTGGGCTCTGTCCCACGCGTGTCTCAGTGCTCTGCGTGCACACAGCGAGCACCCAGGTGAAGTTCTGCCCCGCGGTTCCGTGTTCAGCCCGCCCCCCGATGTGTTCCAGGGCCAAGACCAAGAGGAGCACGTGGGCCATGGGGCCGGCCTGGGGCCAGGCGGCTGTGTCCCCACTGTGAGCCAGCGGTGCCCTGGACATGTCTGCTCTGGTCTCAGGACCAGAGGGGCCCAGGGCAGAGTGTGAGCTGTGTGGATGGCCCACATCCCCTCAACGGGGCCACACTGTCCCCAAGGAAGCAACGTTGGCCAGGGAGAGGGGGGGATTTCAGACACTACCCCGATCCGCAGCCCCCTGAACCACAGCCCTCCCGGACAGCGTGGTGGCTGACAGCCCTTGAGATTACCAGGTCCTGGGGAGGGTGATGAGGAGAGAGTCTGCTGTCCGGTCCTGTGACCCCCAGGCCTTGGGGGTGCAGACTCGACGGGGGCCCCTCAGGGGGGCAGCGCTGGGTGCTGGGCCGTGTCCCCCCCCCCCCGCGCCCCTCCTCTTCCTTGAGCTGGTTACAGTTCCCAGCTTGATGTGCCCGGGGCAGCCTCGAAGAGCCCTCCCCGGGCCCTGTCCAGCCCCTGGCCCCCGTGCTGCGTTCCCTGGAGACTGGGGGCGGGGACGGGGTGCTGCGGGCTGGGGGGGGGGAGCTGCCCCACCCTGAGCACAGCACTGCGGGTTTTCCGGGAGAGCCGGGTCCCCACGGTGAGTCTGGCCACCCTGACCCCACCTTCTCTTGCAGCATACCTGTGCCTGGACTCCGTGCTGGTGGCCGAGGACGGGGCCGTTCTCTTCGGCCCACCCCCTGCCAATGGTGCGTACGCGGGGACGCCCTCAGGAGCTGTGCCCCACCACAGACCCCCAAGGCTGAAAGGGAAACTAAGAGCTTGGGCCTTTCTCTCTCAGGCACTTACGACGCGTTTTTTCTGGCTCCTGAAGCTGCAGACCAAGAGCTGGTGACGGAGAAGGTAACTGGGGCCTTCCCGTCCCTTCCCGGGGCCTCCTGCCCCACACCCTCGGTGGCGCCCCCTTCTGCCCAGAGAGCTGGGGTTGGGGGTGAGGCATGGGCCCCTCACCGGGACTCAGGGGGAGTCAGGGAGCCCTCCCCCAGGGCAGGAGTCGCCTCCCCAGCCCTGGCCTTCCTGGCCTGGGCAGCGTCCACCCAGCAGGTGCCTCCCCGGGGGTGGCAGGGGCGGGACTTCTGCATGGACAGCTCTGGGCGGTATGTGTTGGCTCAAGAGAGCCCAGGGCTGAACTTTCAGGAATATTTACAAGGCACTTGTTAAACAGAGTGTCATTAAAAATTAAATTGTACACACTTACGGGGCGCCCGGCTGGCTCAGTCGGTGGAGCGTGTGACTCTTGATCTTGGGGTGGTGCGTTCAAGCCCCACGTTGGGCATGGAGCCCACTTTAAAAAATAATAACAAAATGAAATAAAAATTAAATTATACAAACTTGAAGTTAAGTAAATTATATTCAAAACCAAGGTAGAACTCCACTTCCCTACTCCCCGACTAAGTACAGCTAGAAACCCCGCATCCCTAAAACAAACGTGAGAAGTGTGCAAGGCAGAGAGCAGAAGGCAGCCTGGCCGGGGCCTCGGGCTGAGGAGGGCACAGTGGTAAGGGCCCTGCTCCTTCTCTCTGCCTCATGCGTGGAGGCAAAGGCACCGCACTCGAGCCAGAGGAAGGGATGAGGAGAGGGGCGGGCCTACCCAGGCGGTGCCAGAGGAGGCTGAGCACCCCCACCAGTCTATTCCAAGGACCCCTGCCCATTAAGCTGGTGAAGAGCATGTGGGTGGGGAGCCTGGACCCCCACCACTGCACCTAATCCTCCGCAGTAGCAAATGCCCCTCGAGGTCAAGTGTTGCCAAAGGAGGCCTCATGGAGAGCTAGAACACCCACCGTCACCCAGCGGCAACAAGGCCACCCCTACCTCGTGCTGGGAGTGGAGGCAGGTGAGGAGCAGAAAGGATGCCCTCCCACCCCTCCCGGCCAGAGGTGTGACACCGGAGGCCCAACGGGGAGCCAGGATTCCCACCCCCTCCAGCAGCAAAAAGGAGCCCCCTCCTCAGGTGTCAGTTGAGGCCAAATACAGAACCTGGACTGTGCCCCCAGCTGGCAATAACAAGATGGTGTCTCCTTTTCCAGACAGTGCTGTCAGAGAAAGTCAGGTAAAACAAGTTAAAGAAGATCTAGAGCCTTACAACATGAAAATGTCCAGGTTTCAACCAAAAGTCACTTGCCACACCAAGAACCAGGGAGATTCAAACCTAATGAAAGAAGACAATCAACAGATGCCAATGTTGACACTGTGGGACACAGCCAAAGCAGGGCTAAGAGGGAAATTCGTAGCACTAATTGCATATGTGAGAAAAGAGGTAAACGCTCAAGTCAGTAATCTAAGCTCCTCAAGAACCTAGAAGAAGAGCAACACAGACCCAGAGCAGAGGAAGGAAGTCATGAAGACGAGAGCAGAAATCAATGAAAATGGAATAACAATAGAGAAAACAGTGAAGTGAAGAGGTGGTTCTTGGTAAAGACCAACAAAATGTGAAGACTTGCAGCAAAACTGACAACAATAAAAAGAAGACACAAATTACTAATATCAGGAATGACACAGAGGATTCCCTGACAAACCCTTCAGGCATTGAAAGAATAATGGAATACCACAGATAAGTCTACACACATAAATTCAACAACTTAGATGAAATGGGCCAGTTCTTCAGAAATCGTACACTACCACAATGCATTCGATATGAAATAGATCTTTGAACAGCCCTTGACTATTGAGGAAATTGAATTTGTACTTTTAAAGTTCTCAAAAAATAAATCTTTGGGCCCAGCAGTTTCATGGGGGAGTTCTACTCAATGTTTAAAGATAAATTACTACCATTTCTACACAATCTTTTCCAGAAAAGAAAAGAGAAAACACTTCCCAATATATCTAATTAAGCTAATATATATACTGTCAATGTAGATAGATAGATGATAGATAGATAGATAGATAGATAGATAGATAGATAGATAGATAGAGGCATCTGTACACACACACACAGCAACATCTCTCATGAACATAAAGGCAAAAATCCTTAACAAAATATGCAGCTAGAATTCAGCAATATGTAAAAACTATGCACCATGACAAAGTTGGGGGGGGGTATTCTAGGGATAAAGGGCTGGTTTGGTATTTGAAAATCAATTAGTCCAACATATTAACCAGCTAAAAAAAGAAAAATCCCATAATCACATTAATTGATGCAGAAAAACCATTTGGCAAAATTCAACACCCATTCATAATAACAACAACAAAAACCTGAGAAAAATACAAGTAGAAGAAACTTTCTCAGCTTAATAAAAAGCATCTACACACACATGCACGCACACACACACACACCCTATAGCTAACATCATACTCAATGGGGAAAGACTAAATGCTTTCCCCACGACTGGGAACAAAGCAAGGATGTCCACTCTCACTGCTCCTACCCAACATACTGCTGGAAGCGGTAGCCACTACAATAATTAAAAAAAAAAAAAAAAAAACATGTAGGAAGCATAAAGGCCAGGAAGAAGAAATAATACCATTCGCAGAAGACCTGTCTATGTGGAAAATTCCAAGGAAACTCACGGAATCTACCAAAGGACTCCTAGAATTAATAAGTGAGTTCTGATATAAGATAAACATTCAAAGATAAGTTGTATTTCCATATATTAGCAATGAACATGCAGACTCCAAAATTAAAAATACAGTGCGTGCTCTCAGCACTAGCACCATCTCAGAAACCTCCAGGCCATGAACCAAGTGGAGGAAGAAGTAAATGCACAGGCTGAAGCATAAAAGAAGAACGATGAGGCAGAAGTTCAAGTAAACCACTAACTTGTGCACCCGCGGAAGCTACGGGAGGGGAAGCAAGGAAAGCCAGAGGCCAGGGACCCTGGCACAATTATTGGGCTGCACACCCACTTTCTCGATCTTGTTCCAGAAACAAATGGACCTAGAAACAGCCATCGTCATCTGATCACAACAACCGCCTTTGAGAGACCCACCTTGCTCATACAAAAACAGTCCTTTTGGTCCTCTGCCCTGAACCTGTGATTTTCAGGACTAATCCTGTACTCAGAATGTAACATGTGTACAATAAATCATTTCTTCTATTGTCCTAGCTGAAATATACATATAAATATAAATGTAATTAAGATACAAAATTTATGTAAATGTACAATCACTCAAAAATTGAAATACTTACATGTAATCTAACCAAGCACACACAGGACTGAATGCTGAACGCTACAAAATGCTGATGAAAGAAATCCAAGAAAATCTCTGGGATGGAGAGCCAGGCAGAGAGCTTTTATCCTTGACACCAGAAGCAGTATCCTTACATTTTTCACAAAAGGAAAAGTGGGCAAAATGAACTTCATCAAAATTAAAAACTGACCAAGTGGGATTTATTCCATGCCTGAAAGGCTGACTCAACAATGGAAAAATCAGTTAATTTAACACATCACATCAATGGGCTAAAGAAGAAAACTTGTGTTTGTGTCAATAGACGCTAAGCTATTGATGAAGTTCACTACACATTCAGGATGCAAGCTCTCAGCAACCTAGGAATGGAGGGAAACTTCCTCAACTTGATAAAGAACATCTACTAAAACCTACAGCTCACATAATTAATGGTGAGGAAACTAGATGCTTCCCCCCTAAGATTGGGGAAAACTCAAGAATGTCATTCTCACCACTCCTATTCAACATCATACTGGGATTCCTAGCTAATGGAGTAAGACAAGAAAAGGAAATGTGTACGGATTGAGAAGGAAGAAATAAAACTGTCTTTGTTCACAAGTGACATGATTGCCTATTTAGAAAATCCCAAAGAATCAACAAAAATCTCCTGGAACTAATAAACAATTTTTTAAGTTTATTTATTTATTTATATTGACAGAGCGAGAGGCAGGGGAGAATCTTAAACAGGCTCTGCACTGACAGATGCAGGGCTTGAACCCACAAACCATGAGATCACGACCTGAGCCAAAACGGAGTGTTGGACGCTTAACTGACTAAGACCCCCCAGGCACCCCAATGAGCAACTATAGCAAGGTTTCGGGATAGCAGGTTAATATGCAAAAGTCGGTTGCTTTACTGTTTACCACCAGTGCCCAACTGGATTTTGGAATTACAAACACAGTGCAATCTACATTCATACCAAGAAAAATTACTTATATATAAATCTAACAAAATATGTATAACATCTATACGGAAAACTGCAAAACCCTAATGGAAGAAAAGCCTACATAGAGAGACATTCCATATTCATGGATAGGAATATGCAATACTGTTAAGATATCAGTTCTTCCAAATCTGATGTATAAATCAAATGCAATTTCAATCAAAATTCTAGCCAGGTACTCAGGGATATCAACAATCTGATTTTTTTTTTTTTCAACGTGTATTTTATTTTTGGGACAGAGAGAGACAGAGCATGAACGGGGGAGGGGCAGAGAGAGAGGGAGACACAGAATCGGAAACAGGCTCCAGGCTCCGAGCCATCAGCCCAGAGCCTGACGCGGGGCTCGAACTCACGGACCGCGAGATCGTGACCTGGCTGAAGTCGGACGCTTAACCGACTGCGCCACCCAGGCGCCCCAACAATCTGATTTTAAAGTATGTATAGAGAGATAAAAGACCCAGAACAGCCAGCAAATGTTGAGGGAGAAGAAGAAAGTCAGAAAACTGACAATACCCAATTTTAAAACTTACCGTAGAGCAATAATGGTCGAGCCAGGGTGGTGTTGGCAAAAGAACAGACAAATAAATGGAACAGAATAGAGGGCCCAGAAATAGACACACACAAATAGAGTCAACTGGTCTTTAACAAAGGAGCAAAGGCAATTCAGTGGAGAAAGGACAGTCTCTTTAACAAATGGCGCTGGGACAACTGGAAGTCCGCGTGCAAAAAAAAAAAAAAAAGAATCTAGACAGAGACCTTGCACCTTTCACAAACATTAACTCAAAATGGATCACAGACCTAAATGCAAAGTGCAAAACCAGAAAACCCCTAGAAAATAACGGAGAAATCTGGCAACACAAAATCATGATCCACGAAAGAGAAAATTGATGTTAGACTTCAGTAAAATTTCAAACTTCTGCTCCACAAAAGATATTAGTAAGAGTGAAAAGACAAGCCAGGGACCGGTAGAAAATATTTGCAAAGCACACACAAAGAGCTCTTAAAACTCAGCAATAAAAAAGCAAACAACCCGCTTAAAAAGTGGGCCCAAGGTCTGCGCAGACCCTCACGGAAGAAGACAGCGTGTGGTTAAGGAGCACGTGGAAGATGTTCGACCTCCTGTGGCACCTGGGATTGCAAAAGAGGAGGCGGCCCCTGGGCCCCGGCTGGAATGGCGACAACCCAACACCGACCACACGCATGCCGGCCAGAATGTGGGGCCACGCGCGGGGGCTCTCGCTCATCGTGGTGGGCACAGCCCTTCGGGAGACAGCTCGGCAGATTCTTTGACCACCCTGCAGCCCAGAAACTGCCTTCCCGGGTGCTTATCCTGGAGAAACGAAACGTCCGCACAGAATCACGCACACGAACGACCACGGCAGCTGTACTCAGAATAGCCCCAAACTGGAAACAACCCGGGTGTCTGTCTGGGGCGAATGGTAAAACTGGCTGTGGTCCGTCCACACCATGGATTGCTACCCAGCAGTCAGAGGAACGGGGTATTGATAAGGCAGCAACCTGGAAGGATCTCCACTTAATTAAAAGCCAATCCCAAAAGGTCACATATTGTGTAATTCCATTTATGTGAAATGGCACAATTAAAGAAACAGAGAACAGATGAGTAGTTGCCAGGGATTAAGTACAGGCAGCTGAGGGCTGTTGCCCTGCCTCATGCAGGAAGCGCTCTGTACCTTGATCGTGTGGATGCCTCGTCCTGGCTGGGACGTTGTCCTGCAGCTTTGCAAGATGTTACTATCATGCAGAACTGGTCCGGGGTACACAGTCTCTCTGGACTGTTTCTTACAACTGTATGTGAATCCATAATTATCTCAAAATTAGAGGTTTAGCTTTTTAAAAACGTTCATAAGTATCTACAGCTGATAATTTCATTCGTGCGTGACTGTCGTGCACAGTGGCCTGTGCTCCTGGCGGTGGGAGCGCTCCTGGAGGGCACCGCTGGCACCGCCCCTGCCCCCGCGCACTGGCACCACTCGAGCAGCTTGAAGGTGGCCTCGTGGGAGCGTCCACACTGGGGAGATCGGCACACGCGATCTGGTCAGCTGCATAGACTTAACGAGGGCACAGAGGAAACGTTAACGATGCAACTGAACGCAGAGGTGCTCCGCGCCTGCCGTGACCCTCCAGAACCGCTGGTGGCGGGACAGCGGCCGGCTTACAGCAGCAAAGCTCGCACCGGGCCTTCCTCGGGTCACTCTCATCCCGCCGGTTGAGTTAAATGAAAACGAAGCTGGCACGCCTGTCGGGCCACCTGTGTGACTTCCGGTACAAGAGCTGGAAAATCAGTGCCCACGTCCCGTGACACTCCTTGGCTCTCTGCAGCTGACAAAAAAGAGTATCACACCTTACCCTCTTTTTTAAACTGGGTGCTTCCCATCATTTGCATCAGGAACGTTTAGAGTAAACTGATGTGTGTAGACACGGGTATTTTTTTTTAACGTTTATTTACTTTTGAGAGAGTCCGGACTTAACCACCTGAGCCACCCAGGTGCCCGAGGAAGGTGCTGTTGCTCAGAGAACCTGCTGCTAAATAGCAGCACACTGCTGGTTTGGGGGGCTCTTGGCCTCTGAACCCCGAGCCGCAGCCTCCAGCTGCCCGAGGACAGCGGAAGGTGGGAAGGCCTTCCCACGGAGGCCTCAGGTCTTGGCTGCTCACACCTGAGGGTGATGACCCGGGAGTACTTGGTAAGCACTCAGGTTCCCAGGCCAGTCCCCGCTCCCCCAGGGATCTGACTCAGGGTCTGGCGGACCTCCAAGCTCCGAGGAGGTGCGAACCCGGGGCGCGGATCAGAGCCACCGTCCTGCTGGCGCCCCCGGGTGCCCTTGGGGGACCCCCGGGTGGGGATGTGCTGCTGAGCAGCGCTGGCCTTTCCCTCCCCCGCCCCCAGGCCTCCGTGTACTGTGTGGCTGCGGTCCTGTGGACGGCAGCCAAGTTCAGTGTTCCCCGAGACCACAAGCTGGCCCTGCCTCGCAGGCTCAAGACCCTCCTCTTGGACATGGCTAGACGCAGCGCCCAGGAGCGGCCGTGTGCGGCAGAGGCCATCAAGGTAAGCACACTGCGGTCGGGACCCCGGCTCACAGTCCAGGGCCTGAGCGATGGCCGACAGGGGACCCAGGTTCTTGTTTCCAGGAAGAGTGGGCCCTGGACAGACGGCCATGGGTTTCATTTGCGAATAGGCGGTAGATGATGTCTGCTGCTCACCCCCGGACCACCCCATTGTCTCCGTGGGTTCGCCAGGCCAGGGTGGGTGGGGAACGTCCTGGGGCCAGCCCAACCCCTGCCCTCATGCCCTGCCAGACGGGACAGAGGCTTCTCCCCAACAACCGACTTCCCACAGCTCCTCTGAGGGTCTCTCGGCCTCCCCTCTGGTCTCTCCAGACTGGGCGGGGGCCTGATGGGGCCGGATCCTGACCCTCCCAACAGTGCCCGAGTCTGCCAGCAAGAGCTGGACGCCTGAGGGAGAACTGGGCCACTGTCTCAGTGACGGAGAGGCCACAGGAAGGCCACCCTGTGGAGGGAGAAGCCCTGTGCCGGCCTCCTCTGCCCCTGACTGCCCTGCTTCACCAAGTGAGGAGGAACCCTGTGTCAAAGAGAGATACTCAGACATCAGCTACGATGCCCAGACACACTACCCAGCAGCCACAGACAGACAGACAGCCGGGGGACGGCCCGCAGGGGAAGGAGTTGCGCTCTACTCCAGATCTGCACAGAGGCGGCTGGAGGTTATGGGGAGAGTGGGGACACAAGAGGAAACTGCCCCGGGGCGGGTCAGCACCAGCACATGGACGCTGGGAGCCAGGACCCACCCTTCCTGACGGTCGAGCTTCGGGGGATCAGGCATAAACCCCTGAACAAGACCGTCCTGGGTCGTCAGAGTCACATTCGCCCCACAGGGGCAGAGGAGGGGTTCACAGCCGTGACCTTTGATAGTAATTGCTCTAAGGCAGGAGGGCATAGCCTCTGCCTGGCGTTGGCTCGAACGAACTGAGGTTTTCCGGGCAGGAGCCCGAAGGGGTCGGGGCTGTCCCTGACTTCGGCCGCCCCAAGCCGCGCTCTGGCTGGCCAGCCTCTGTGCAGGGCTTGGTTGGGGTTCCCGCCAGCAATTAGGAAATGATATAGGTGTTCGGGGGGAGGGAAGGTGCTTACACGGTAGCTTAAAAAAGAATCTTTATCTTTCTTCATCTTCACTGTCAATACCGTCCATGACCCCAGATGAAAAGTGGACGCTCTCATCAGTGACACTCTTTCCCCAAATATCAGAATGTTTGAGCTTGTAGAGTCGGTTCCCAGGGGTCAGCTGCATTTTCAGGGTCCACCCCCCATCCCAGAGCGTTTCTTGTTGTGCACGCACAGGCGAGGCACACGCACAGACGCGGGGACAGACAGCTGGCTTCAAACCTGCCTGGGCCCCATCCACATTTGTCCTGCAAGCAGCCACTGCCTTGTTGTCAAGGTCACCGAGGACTCGGGCCTGCCTGGGTCAAATTGCAGTTAATTGGAAATGTCTACAGAAGTTTTCTCTTGCCTGTTTTTTTAGGTTGCAGTTTTGGGGTTTGCTGTCTGTGCATGTGGGAGCTGACTGGTCTGCCCCTAACTCCTCTGTGGTTCTGTAGCATCACCTGTTCTTGAAGTCTTTAGAGGGACAGGCTGGAAAGGTCATGTGTCATTGTGCCCTCCTCTCCGGCACTGAGGCAGCCCCTCAGCAAGGGGTGGGGGGGGGGGCATTTCTGTTCAGCCTTTATTCCTTCTACGTGGGGCTGCAGAATTTCATCCCCGGCTGCCCGAGGCTGGGGTCTGCTTCCTGTACACGAAGCCCCCAGGCCCTCCTCCCTGCCGCTGTGCACTCTCTCAAGGGCTCCTGCCCAAGGCGTGCTCCCCTCTACGTTTGGAGTGACGTGGGCCCGGCCTGCGGCCTCCCAGATGCCGGACACGGGGCTCCTTCTTTCAGATATGCAGCACTTACCTCCTTCAGCGAGGCATGGACAGCAGGAAGATTTTAGCCCACCTGAGGGCGTCCACCTGCAAGGTAAGACGGTGCCCTGCAGAGTGTATGTGAAGCCCCCTCGGTTCTGTGCTGGGGCCCGGGCCCTGGGGAGACGAGGATGCTTGTTCTTGCTGTTTACTGTGCAGGTGGAGGGCGAGTTTAGGAAGGGGGGGCATACCCCACAGTGACCCTCAGGCACAGGTGGCTGTCAGCCTCCTGGGCCTGCGGACCCGGCGGGCCCCGTGGATGGCAGACAGGCACACACACTCCCCCGCAGCGACGGTGCCCTAGAACCCTACCCACACTTTGTTGAATTAGGAAGCAAGCGCCCCCAAGGCTCCCATTGGAAAGAGAAGCAAACCAGGGCGCACCCGGCTGGCTCAGTCGGGGGAGGAGGGGACTCTTGATTTCAGGGTTGTGCGTTTGAGCCCCACACTGGGTGTAGACATAACTGAAAAATAAAATCTGAAAAATAAATAGAGAGAGAAGCAAGTCCAGTGTGTGAGCCAGTGCCAGCTCAGAGCTCCGCTGAAAAGTCGGGGAGCGCTCCACGGCATCCACTCGGGACCGCCGGGCCCCTGGACTCACCTTGACTGGGGCCATCCTGTTCTTCTGCCTCAGGTTGACCAGGAGGAGGAGACCATCGGCCTCCAGAACGCTCTCTCGGTGGTGGAGCTGAACCCCAGTGCGATGCCGCCTCCCGGGCCCAGCTCAGGTGAGCCGCCAGGGCCTGGCCCTTCCTGCCCCCGACGCCACGGCTACCCCCACTGCTGACCCCCCAGCCCTGAGCGGACACCCACAGGCAGCCACCACGGGGCCCCAGAGCAGGGTGTCCAGGACCTCCTGGCGGCCTGGCTGTCCACCTCTGGTCTGACGGCCCTGTCACGCTCCTGTGTCCACATCCACGTGCCGCTGCCCAGCTCCCGTCCTGCCCCGTCTTCCCCCCAGCCTGCCTGTCATGTCTGGGTGGTAACCCCCATCCTGCAGCAGAAAGAAGACCCCCTCCTCCCGTCCGTGGCCTTCTCCGTGGTTCCCAGCTCCGCCACCCTTGACCCCGGCCACCTCAGGCCTGTCAAAGTCCCCTTGGAGCCCCGCGGCGGGGAGGGGTGCAGCACCCGCGGGGGTGGGGAGGAGCCAGCGCACCTTATGGCAGAGGTGGGAGCTGCTCCAGGGCATCTCGGGGCCCGCACTCACGCGGAGTCTGTCCCCAGGCTTTGTTCAGGTCGGAGGGGACAGCAGGCTGGTGGCAGTGCAGGGGCCCGTGCCCACTCAACCCTCCTGCTGCGAAGCGGCCGCCTCCCTGCCGGCCGCCTTCACCTCGGCAGCCACACACTTCAAGCCCATTGTACTGGCACCAGATGCAGGTGACGCCAGGTGAGCAACCCCACCCCGGAGCTGGCGGGGTCCCCGAGCCCTTCCTCAGTGCTCTCTCCTTCTCTCTGTGCTCTCAGGGACCGGGAGGGCGCTGCGAAGCAGGCTCCCGAGACCCATGGAGCAGCCCCCAGCCAGCAGATTCCTGACCAGCTGGTACCGGGTGCCGGACCACAGGGAGCAGCCCCAGAGCCTCTCAGAGAGTCCATGCCGAGAGACACGGGCCAGGGGAACCCCTGCACCCCTCCCCCTGCCCCGGCCAGCCCGCCGGAGGAGGCTTCACCAGCGATGCCCGCATCTTCTACGGCTGTCCCACCCCTGAAGGCACAGGTGCCCCCCACGGAGCAAGGGCCAGACCCAGTAGCCCTGCCTGGAGCCTCTTCCGAGGGCCTCAGGCCTCGGCCCCCAGGGTCCAGTGCAGCCCGCCATGACCTGGGTCACCCAGCCAAGCCGCCCAGGAGCAAGGCCACTGAGGGCCCAGGCCAGGAGCCGGGGGGTCCCCCGTCAGCCCCGAGGGACCCCTCCCTGGCCAAGGCGAGTCCAGACAGCCCTAAGGGCACCTCGGTCCCAGAGCAGGATGACCAGGCCCCAGACAGTCACCGCGAGCGGCCCCTGCCAGCAGACCGCAAGCTCTGTCCGCCCAGTGTGGACGCCTCACCCCTCCCGAAGAGGACGGCCTGTCCGTCGCTGCAGGAGGCCATGCGCCTCATCCAGGAGGAGTTTGCCTTTGACGGCTACTTGGACAACGGGCTGGAGGCTCTGATCATGGGTATCACGGGGGGGACCACAGGGCTCCCCGGAGCAGCCCCAGGACCAGGGAGAGGCCATGGGGGGACGCAGTACACTGTAGGGGGCCCGTGTGAAGGGGGAACTGGGGTCGTCACAAAGAGGGGGCCCCCCACTCATCCATCTGCACCAAGAGCTCAGGGGGCAGAGCTGAGCCCCCCAGGATTCGGCCGGCAGCAGAGTCTTAGGCAGGAAGAGGGACTTAGAGCCCTGGCGCCCCCGCGCGGCCCCCTGCCAGCTCCTTCCGCCCTGGAGAGCAGGGAGCACAGAAGGTGCTCTCCCACGTGGTAACTGGCCGCTGTCATTTTGCAAACCCAGGGGAATACATTTACGCCCTGAAAGACCTCACCTACGCCACGTTCTGTGGGGCCATTTCGGAGAAGTTCTGTGACCTGTACTGGGGGGAACAGTTGCTGCACAATCTCTTCCACGTGGTGAACGGGAGGGCATCGCCCCCGGAGAAGTGAGTCCCCCACCCTGGGGCCCTGTTCCGCCTCCTCTAAGCCCTGGGCTGCCTTCCCTGCGTCCCCTCCCACCCCCCTGGGCTCCAGCTCCCCGCCCTCGCCAGACTTGGCTGTCCACCCGGGTCCCCCTTGCCGGGCCTGCAGCCCACCCTGCGGGCGCCGGGCTCCTATGGGCAGGGAGAGAGAGTGTGGGAGGCACAGCCCCTGCTCAGGTACCGGCCCGAGGAGGCGGAGTGACCCAGGGCCCGGAGGGGAAGACGCCCCCCAGGGAACAGGTCAGAGCTGGATGACAGCAGGTGGATGGAGACCCTCCCTGTGCTGTCCCCCCGCCCCCCGCCCCTTCAGAGACTGCCCTGCTGCTCTTCTGCCGGGGCTGGCCCACCCCCTCCTGGAGGACTGTCCACAGCGATGTGGGGGGTGCCTGGAGAGGCCCGATGCCCCGACACCCAGTCCCTGAGCCCCAGGCACACCCACAGCCCTCCCCGCCCCCGTCCCTGTGACTGCACCAGGCAGTGGGAGCCGCGGGACCGCCCTGTGGTGTTCACTGCCCGCCCCGTGCAGACAGGTCAACACCGCTGAACACCCCAAATCGGTGCCTGCCCCCCCCCGGGTCCCAACACTCACAGGCCCGCAGGCAGCCAACGCCCCGCATTCTCACAGCACTGACCTCCAGAAAGCCCTGTGCCAATTATTTGGGCCCCTTAATTGTTCTGGAAGGAGGGTGCTCTGTGACAGCCTGTGGCCCGCAGTCAGGGTGTCCTCGGGAAGCTGGGTGGGGCCTCTGCTAAGTGGTGTGTGTTGGGCGGGGGGGGGGGGGTGAAGGGGGAGGGCCAGGTCACCGGTGGGCCCCCACCGCAGCCCAGGTGTGTTTACGTGGGGTGAGCTCTGGGGGCTTCTGCACATCCGCCCAGAGACTCCTGCTGGAAAGCGGTTCAGGGAAGCTGTGGCGTCGTGGGGGGCCGACAGGCCGGGCCACAGGGGCGCCTGAAGCATCCTTCCCTCTGATGGCAGCGCTTCAGAGGAGGCCGTGTCACAGCCCCAGGGTGACGGGACTAGCGCTCCAAGTGGCTGCTCATTGTCCAGCAAAAGGCCATCGTTGCACGGGGCGGGTAAGACATGGGCTCCATCGGGGCAAGAACTCTCCATGGTGGGGTCCACGTTGACTCTCTTGGCGTGGCTGGGTAATTCCAGGAGAGGCTTCCCTTTGCCCCCGGGTACCCCAGTGTCCTCTCAAAGGCACCCAGAGCAGGGCTTGCCAGCTGGGGACCTTGTGCCAGGAAGGGGGGCTCTCCCACGCCCGCAGGTGGGTGGCACACAGGAGCCCAGTGCACTGGGGGCCGGGGGTCACATTCTGCTTCCTGGAATCGCTGGCCAGCAGCCTGGTGATGGGACACATCTTTGCTTCTTTCCTGGAAACACGTGCCAGTTAAAGAGTCTGAGGGTTATTTTCCTGGATTGTTAGCACAGGCTGCAGGATGCCGGAAATCTGTGTAATTTCACGGATACCGTGGGAGTGGGGCATGGCTGTAGGAGTCAGGCTGCGTGACTGCGATCACATGTGTCATGGCCATCAGAGCGGGTGGCGAGCACAGGCACCTCACCCCACCCTTCTCCACGTGCGCACTCCAGGAAGTTTGAGAGCAAAGTGAGGGCGCCCACCGGGCCCCCAGCGCCCTGCTGGCCCTCCGTCCAGTCTGGTTCCTCCTCATCTACACACAAGCAGCTCACGACCCAGGGGTCTCCTCCCCCACCCCGGGACAGCCCGTGCTGGGAGGGGATCTGAGGGATCCTCCTGGGAGGCAGGACCCCTGCCCTGAACCCTCAGAACCCTCTTCAGGGGGGCACCCTGCCATCTCGAGGGGCTCGTCTGAGCACAATCAGCTTCTCTGTAAAGAGTTGGTGATGGACCCTGCCACTCGAGCTGCATTTTCGAGGGTGGCCGTCCTCTCCTGTGCAGGGAAGGAGAAACCGGCCACCGCTCGCATCAGCCGAGCCCCCTGCCCGCCCCCACCACTGTCCGACGTGGACGCAGACGAGCTCTCACGGGGTAACTTTGAGGTGGGATTCCGGCCTCAGAAGTCTGTCAAAGCCGAGCGGGAACAGCAGCCGGAAGCCGGAGAGCACGGGCAGCAGGGTGGGGGCCCCGAGGCAGTGGCCCGGCTGCCCCGGCCCAAGGACGGCGGCCTGGCCGTGAACCCCGGCCCGGCGGACCTCCAGAGCTGCAGCCCCGGCTGGTGCAGTGCCTTCTACGAGGCCGACTGCTTCGGCGCCGACGTCTACAGCTACGTGCAGGAGTTGGCAAGGCAGAAAGCCGGTGGGGCCATGGATGCCGACGCCCAGAGCCCGGTGAGTCCTGGGCCACTGCCCGGTGCTGGGGGAGGGGGTGCAAGTCCCACGTGGCGGCAGGTAGTGGGGCATGGTGTGCACAGAGCCCCTCCCCGTGCCCCATTCCATGGCCCCCGCCCGCCACCAGCGCCCCCCTCTGGTCTGGGCACCCCCTCCACATCTGGGGTAGGAAATGGCTTCTGTCTCTTTGTGAGCTGGGCAAGTGGTCCACGCGTGGCGGGAGAGGACCTCGTGAGGGCGACCACAGTTGGGTTCGGGCCGTGTCTCTGGCGGGCCAGGCAGGTGCAGCTCCCTCCCCCCAGGCAGCCTCCTGCCCCTTGGGCAGCGCACCCACCGCGATGAGAAAAGTGCCGTAGACGCCTTGCCCATGGCAGTCCATTCAGGCCGGCCCCGGGCTCCATCTGGCCCGGCCTGAGCTTCTCTTGTGAGCAGCCCACCCCTCCCCCCGCGCTATCCTGGTCAGGGCAGCCCAGGCTCCTCCCGAGTCAGCAGGGTGACAGGAGGGCACAAACCGGAGAGTGGCCAGGCCAGGCAAGTCCTTAGGTGAGGGCAGCGCCCCAGAGATCAGGACCCGAGGTTCCCCATAACCAGCCGCTCTGACCTGGGCTGTAGCCTCCCCCTGGGACCAGGGGCTCCCACGGAGGCGCACAAGGTGCGACCCCCCCCCCCCACCAGCAGAGCAGACGGGAAGGAACCGTCAGCGCTCAAGCATCCTGCCCTGGCGCCTCTACCCGCCCCTGCTTGACTCACCTCCTCTGGCCTCCAAGCACAAGCCCCAGAAACGTTGCGTCGCCCCAGCCCTCACAGCACCATCTGAACCTTTCCCAGGTGTTTTCGCCTTGTTGGCCTCCGGCCACTGCCTCAACTTGGCTGCACTGCTCAGCCCTGCGCTAGACAGAGGACGGGCCCTGCCTGGTCCTGGCGCACGTGTGGACAGCGGCCGTGCCCTGTGGAGCCGTGCCGTTCCTCCCGGCGTCGTGCCGCCGGCCCTGCATGTGCCGCCTCAGGCAACAGACTCGGAGGCCTGGCCTCGCGCGCTGGGGGCCTCCCGTGGGGACCCGGTGCGCAGGGTGGCCCCCATGTAGGGCGCCCTCCTCTGGGACCACGCGGAAGCTTCACGCCACTGTGTTGGAGTCCAGTGCCGCGGGCAGAGAGGACAGCTCCCAGGCCCGACGGTCCCCTTCCTTCCACTGGGGGGCCTGTAGGCCTGGCTCGCACTTCCTTTCCTGTAACGTGTATTTGCCCTCGGAGCTGCTGGATGTTCTCGCCCCGGCAGCCCTGGTTCTGCACCCGCGGGGGCCTTTCCCAGAAATAGAAAGTGAACAGACTACAAGGGGCAGAAGGTGCCGGCACGACTGTGGGCCACATCAGACTCCCGGTCATGGGAAACGGAGGGTACGGGGCTTGCACAGGTGGTGAGAGAACAGAGCGGGCACCAGCGACGGGGTCACGGCTCGTGACACCCCAAGACGAGCATAGGCCTCATCACCAAGAGTGGAACAGCTTCCCCTGACGCAGGATCCTGAGCGTCCCAATGCTCGTCCCCATGAGAAGAACCCACAGACCGTGAGCGCTGGGAGGCAGTGAGGAACAAACACGCTTCACGGAACACTCACGCGTGCACACTTCCCAGCTGTGTTGCTGCTAGGGCCCAGAAGCAGCAGTGAGCACACTGTCCTCCAGTCAGAGGGACCAGGGCTCCGGGGGGAAGTCACCGACCCCGGGACGTGTGACGATGAGCTGGGGCGTCTCGTGCCAGAAAGTAAGGAGATGACGAAACAAGACGGGAGACGTCCAAAGTCAGAGGAACCAGCTACAGAGCTCCGGTACCCGGAGCGGCAGCAGTCTGAGAAACTAAAGGAACCACGCGGGTCTGTTTTCTGACTCGAAGTGGCGCGTACCCACACGTCCGCACTGAGACAGGTGGCTGACCCGAAAGGAGAGCAATGACCCGACGGTGCTTCTGGAAGAAATTGAAAACCCACCCCTAAGTTCACGTGGAATCTCAAGGAAGCTCAAACAGCCAAAACGATCGCGACAAAGAAGAACAAAAGTGGAGGATTCGCACCTCTGGTTTCAGAACTTGTCACAAAGCTGCCACTGTCCCCACCGTGTGGTCTCGGCACAGAACAGTCGCACAGGCCCATGGCGCAGGATGGGGAGCCCGAAACAAGTCCCCGCCGACGCGAGTGCTGACAGGCCGCCAGGCCCGGCCAGCGGGCAGAGGGCAGAGGGCAGTCCGCACAGCGAATGGCGCTGGGAAGACAGGTGTCCAGCTGCACAAAGGAGCGGTCGGGCCTGGACCATACGGCACTTTCAAAAATTAGCTAGAACATCAGAGACCGAAGCACAAGAGCTAAAACCCATGGAGGAACACAGGGGAGGAGCTTGGTGACACTGGATTTGGAAATGATTTCTTGGACACGACACCAAGATCGCAGGCAACAGAAGTAAAAATAGATTCACTGGACGTGATCAAGATGAAAACCTGCGCATCAGAGGACGCCACCAACAGACCGGGGAAAACAGTTACGAATCCCACGCCTGAGAAAGGCTCGGGCTCCAGAGTACGTGGGGAACACAGAGGACTCCGCAAGCACCGAACGACGGACGACGGACTTGCACAGACATCGCTCCGAAGAAAACACACAAATAGCCAAGCTCACGAGAAGGTTGCCCAGCGTCGTGAGTCGTGAGGGAAAAGCGAATCAAAACCACAGCAAGGCACCACCTCGCACACAGTAGGGTGGCCGGTACCAGAATTTGGAAAAGAAAGAAAAGAACACGTGTTGGGAAGATGAGAAGCTGGAACCCTTGCGCACGGCTGGCGGGAACGTAAAATGACGCTGCCGCCGCGGAAAACGCTGGCGATCCCTCCAAAACCTAAGCACAGAATTATCAGTGGGTCAGCAGCCCCACGTCTGTGCACCCGGAACAGCCGAAGGCAGGGTCTCGAGGGGACGCGTGCGCTCGGTGTTCCCAGGAGCCAGCAGGTGCGAGCCGCCCAAGTGTCCATCAGCGGATGAGCGGATAAAGAAGATGTACGATATGCGCACAGTGGGACATCCCCCAGCCTCGCGGGAGGGAGACACCTGTCACGTGCGGAGGAGCCCCAAGGGCATGATGCCCAGTGACAGAAGCCAGAGACAAAAGGACAGGCCCGGTGTGACTCCACCCTCGCAAGGTCCCCGGAGCCATCACGTTCACAGCCACAGAGAGAGGACAGTGGGCGCCAGGGACGGGGGAGGGGACGGGGACCTGATGTCTGATGGGGGACAGACGTTCCAGGATGGGACAGTCCTGGGGATGGGGGGGTGAGCACACTGGATGCCACGGAACAGCTCGATGAAATTTTGTTAAAATGGTAACTTTTATGTTATGTTTATTTTGTCACAAAAAAATTTCTAAATAAAAATTTTAAAATTAGTTGAGAAAAAAGGGGAGCGACGACCATTGGTCCCGGGGACCTGAACTGACACCTGCAGATGTCACCATAGGTGGAAGCTCTGAGTGACAGAGAAGACACGGGCAGCATCCCTGGGGAGCCCCCTTCGCCCGCCCCTCAAGCCCAACCCACCACCGTCCCACCACCCTGGCCACAGCGGGACCGCGACCCAGGAGCCCCACTGACCCGGGGGACAAGGGTGGCAGCCAGGGCGGCTCGCAGTGCCCACACCGACTCCCCCGACAGCTGTGGGGACGGGGGGATGAGAAGTCCAGCTGTGCCACCTGTGTCGGAGGTCACCTTCTGCAGTCACAAGTCATGTCCTCTGGCATCACAGGTCACGCCTGCTGGGCGGCTATGGACCGGCTGCCCTGTTTCCAGCCCCTTGAACTCAGGGCCACAGAGGGTGGCTCTCACCTGTGCGAGTGCCTGGCCCAGGGTGACGGGGCCCTGTCCTCAATTCTGTGTTGTCTTCGGGGTGGTGGCCCCTTGCAGGGAGATGCACCCCCTGGCAAGCGTGGGTGACCCATGCACCGTGCCCAGACTGTTCTTGAAAGTGGGCTCAGAGACGTGCTCAGCCCAGGAGGCTGCTGGCGCCCGCGTCCGTTCTTATCCGGACCATGACCCTGTGGTGGGGACGAGGCTCCCCGGGCCTGCCACCACTGAGAGTGGGGCCCGGTCCCGTGGTCCTCAGCGGGCGGCTCCCGCGGGGGAGGGTCTGCAGGAAGCAGGCAGTTTGAGGGAAGCTGTGGAGTGACGTGTTTTCCCTTCTGTTCCTGCTCTCCCGGGAAGGCGTCTCTGCTGGAACCCGAATGCCGCCAGGTGAGTTTCCTGTGCCCTTGTCTGCATCGTGGGAGGGCTGGATCAGGCCGCCGGTTTCACATTTCTCTCTGAGAACCACCGTGTCCGTTTCAAAACAGGAGCCCCAGACAAACTCGAAGGGTATAAAACAACCATTAGACACACTTCCACATTTGCTGCCCAAACAGAGCGAGTGTGCAACAGGTCAGGCGTTGGGGTGGGGGGGGTCAACCAGAGGGCATCATGTTCCCTCCATCCGTCCCTGACCGCACAGCAGCACCTGCACACCCAGTGCGTGCCGACCGGCGCCCCAGCACGTGCCGCGAGTGGGGGCCGGGAGCCGGCCTTCCGCGTGGCCGCAGCATCTCCGAGGCGGCACACGCAGCGCGGAGGTCCTCTGTTGCCCTTCGCCTGCTGTTAAAACGGGCTTTGCTTTCAGTGCTGAGGTGAATGGTGCTGATCTCGGTTCATCCTGTTATGCCCAGAGTTCGTGATCCCCAAAGACCACCAGGGAGCCGAGTCCGATGCAAAAGCAAAGAGCCTTTATTCGAGCTAGCTCGAGCTCAATCCCCTACCTGCCCCGACGCAGGGGTGAGATGCCGGTGGGGAGAGAGAGCGAGTTTCAAAAGCACAAAGGTTTTATAGGGGTCTAGGGGCAGTTGGTGAGGTAATGGCTGTGGCCTCGGCCGATTGGCTGGGGAAGGGTCATGGCCTCGGCCGATTGGCTGGGGAAGGGTCATGGCCTCGGCCGATTGGCCGGGGAAGGGTCGGAGTCCTGTTACGCAGGTGGCGGGCGTGTTTTGATCGGGGAGTTTGAATGGGTGAGCGGGAGGTTACTCCAGGGGAGGAGGCGCGGTCTGAGGTTTCTGCGATTTTCCCGGAAAGGGGCCACGTCGGGGACATAGTCACTCACGGTGGAGGACACAGAACAAGATGGAGTCGGCCGGCGCAGGCCCGCTCTCCCAATCCCTCTTTTCTCTCTCTGCCTACAAGTTCTGGCTTTTCCATCTTCCTTCCGACTGTGGTTCTGTCTCCTTCCCAGCACTGGCCAGCTTTCAGGCCTGTGTAAATCAAGGGCCATGGTGTGTGATGAAAAGAACCCTCACTTGGGTTCGGCCAGGGGAAACGCCTAACCTCGAATGATCCTGGGTGTTCTAGTTAGACGCAGCCAGTCCGGCTCAGCCCGTGGTCCAGGACGCCTCTGCTTCTGCCAAGTGTGGCCATGGCCGTGCTGCCCGGCTCCCATGTTTCTTCTCCATCATCCCGTTCTGCGTGAATTTTAATTCACATAGATTTAGTTTAACATCAGTCAAAATGGTCCTTTCCAAAGAACCAGTCTGTAGTTCAGTAGCGTGAGAGGTGTTACTGACAAACTTCACACCCAACCTTAAAACCTGAGGCTGGGGCGCCTGGGTGGCGCAGTCGGTTGAGCGTCCGACTTCAGCCAGGTCACGATCTCGAGGTCCGCGAGTTCGAGCCCCGCGTCAGGCTCTGGGCTGATGGCTCGGAGCCTGGAGCCTGTTTCCGATTCTGTGTCTCCCTCTCTCTCTGCCCCTCCCCCCGTTCATGCTCTGTCTCTCTCTGTCCCAAAAATAAATAAAAAACGTTGAAAAAAAAATTTAAAAAAAAAAACAAAAAAACCTGAGGTTGCCGAGACGCTCACCTGGGACGAGACCGCGTGAACCGCGTTCTGGCAGGTGTGTGACCCATCGGCCCCAGTGCCCACAAACCCACTCCAGGAGAAGGGGTCTTATCAGCATCTGGACAAGCGTGCAAGGGGGCGACAGGGCTGGACAGGGCCTCATGCAGGGCGGCCTCAGAGGGTGCTCTCCCCATGGCTGTTCTGAGCCACGCAAAAGGAGGGGAGCCCTGGAACACAGGGCCAAGGCCATCCTTCCCCTCTCCGGCAGGGGCCACCGCATCATCAGAAAGCCAAGGTCACAGAGAAGCATTCATGGAGGGCAGAGACACTCAGGTCCCTACACCCAGAAGGCAGAGGAGGAGTCCTCCGCGAACACAGTTCTGCGGGGCCACCTGCATTTGCCGCTGTGTGGAGATTTGTGCCATCTGACGGGACTGCCGTCAACGATGAAATGTTCCAGATCTGCACCATCCATCAGGGCAGCCACCAGCCATGTGTGGCTAACTGAGCGCTTGAGGTGTGGCCCACGTGACCGAGGAATTGACATTTTCATACCACTGAAATAGAAGAGCTGCTACACACGGCCAGTGGCTCCCACGTTGGAGGCGCACTTCAGTCCTGCCCCCATGTACCCTGGGGGCCCGTTCTCCTCCGCACCCTGGCAGCTGGTGACCAGGGCCTCCAGCTGTCAAGCAGGGGAGGAAGATTTGGACCCGGGGCCACGTGGTGTCAAATCCCACGCTCTGCTCAAACACAGGCCCAGCCAAACGGTGCAACGGCAGCTTTGGGGCAGCTCAAGCTGCCCTCGGCAGGCTTCCTCCCCTGCCCTCGAGGGTCTCCCTCTCCCTGAGGTCTAAATCGACCTCCTCCCCATGCGTGACTCCTCCCCTGCCCTCGGCAGCTTGCACTCAGAGGCCATGGGGGATCTGATTTACCAACGGAGATGTGGCAGGGCCATGTGGTTGTGTTTGCACCACACTCCCCAACACCAGGCACGGCCCCTGCCCCCCAGCTGCCCTGGGCCTAGAGGCTCCTACCCTCTGCTGTGGCTGTTGCCACCCCGTTGTTATCGTAGCAGCGTGAAGAAGACAGCCACGTGAACCTCCTTTCAGTAAAACCACCAGAGAGAAGGGATTCAAATATTTAAATTAAAGTATCACCTGCATTTTTTATTTTACAAAATCATACAGAAATAGATGCTACCAATAAAGCAAAGTTCGTAGTTGTAGTTAGATAAGATCAGGGGAAAGCTTGTTTGGGTTTGAGGTGATTAGATGTCCCCAAGTGAAAACCACAGTGTATTTGACTTTCAGATTAAGGTTCTTGTCAGTGTGGCCGCTTCAGGGCCCTGGGGCCACCTTGAACCCTGTTAACAGGAAGTTACTTCCCAGGGAGTCTGAGACCTCCCTGAGCCAACGCCTGCCTACCTTTCGCTGGTCCCCGGCCCTAGTCTGGTCCCTCACTGTACCCACCCACAGGAAAAGTAAACCCACAGCCCCAGCTGGAGACCCACGCTCAAGGCCAGCTCCCAGGGACCTGCCTGGCTTCCGGACCCCTCACTGCTCCACTGTCACATCCCTCCTCAGCCCTGGGCTTGGCCAGGTGGGGGCAGTGGGCCAGGCTGTATCTGTCAGCTCCCTCCTTGAAGGGAGGGGCCACATTTGGATTCTGGTCCTTTCCAACATTCCCTGCCCTGAGCGGGCCTGCCCTGGGGCCTTTCCTGCCCCCTCTGGGTAAGAGAAGAACCCAGACTGTCTGCCCTGGAGGACAGAGCCCGGGATACTGCCCCTCCGAGCGAGCACCCTTGTGGACTCTCCCAGGAGGATGCGCCTCCTCTCCCAGAAGATGCAAATTCTCCTGGAGGGAGCTGGGGCCTCTGTCGCTGGGCTCCCTGGTGGGCAGTGACACGTGACCCAGCGGAACTTCCGCTGGCACCGCGGCCCTCCGGACGGTCCGCAGGCGGCAGCGTCCACACTTCCAGGCCACTGTCCCCACGCAGGGGTGGCCGAGGGCCCGCGGCAGGAACTGGGGCCAGTCGCCCCGAGTCTGTGGCAGGGACTCCATGCTGGGGTCCCCCGGACAGCGGGGCCGAGGTGCGGGGTCGCATGGGGGTCCTGCAGGGACCTCCCCGGGCCGCAAGTGCCCCCCCTCCGGCCCCTCCCAGGACCAGGAAGGCGGTAGGCATGCGCCAGGCGCCCTCCCAACCGGCCGGAAGTAGTATCTGGAGAACGCTCCAGAAGGACAGACCCTCCGTGGGCCAGGGCAGGTGTCAGGGGTGGAGCCAAGGCCAGGAGGCAGGGCCTGGGTTGCAAAGGGATAGGGCAAGGCCCAAGCTGTGGACCCTGTCCGCCAACCCCCTCCTCTGCGGGCATCCTGGGGGCTGCTGGGGACCTGGCGGTCTGTAATTTTCTTTAAGTGGCTCAGTGGAATCCCTGTCTCTCATTGGCTGGGTTATGGCAGTCCCGCCTTAGTTGGGCTCTGGCTGTCTCTCATTGGCTAGGCCATGACTACCTCTCACTGGCTGGGCCGTTGCCAGGACAGGAGGAAACCTTCCTTCCTCCTGCGGGGTGGTGAAGTGTATCCACCTGCAAGGTCCTTGCTGGGTCTTTACTTCACCGGGCCGTGGGCCGAGAGCTCCCTTGCTGGCCTCCCCCCGCTGTTTCAGCGCGGTTTCCCTTCACATTTCCTAGTGGCCTTGCACTAGGCCTTGCACAAGGCCTCACATCCCAGCTCGCGGGCACAGATAGTCCTTCTGTGGCTGTTTTGACAGCTTTCCTCCCAAGAACTTCCACATGATTCACATGTGTGTCCCTGCATGCTAACGTGTGTTCCGTGTGTGCATCTTGTGTAGGCCTTGCTGAGCAGTTGCTTTCGAGACAACAGACGGAAAGCCTGTTGTGAGCAGAGCCTGGGCCGCCAGCACCTCCTGCAGAGGGAGGAGGGCGGTCGCCTGGGCTCACGGGCTCTTTCCTCACTAGGAGCTGGAGCAGCAGCTCATGATAGAGAAAAGAAACTACCGGAAGACTCTGAAGTTCTACCAGAAGCTCTTACAGAAAGAGAAGCGAAACAAAGGTAGTGTTGCGTGTCCACATGCCAGAGCACAGAGTTGGACAAAGGGCCCCCCCGACCCCGGGAGCTCAGGGGACCACTTTGTGCCACCTCTGCCTGCCCCCAGGTTCCGAGGTGAAGACCATGTTGTCCAAACTGAAAGGGCAGCTGGAAGAAATGAAGTGCAAGGTGCAGTTCCTTGGACTGGTCAAGAAGTATCTGCAGGCAAGTCCCCCTGCGTCTCTGCCCCTCCCACCCCTGCCTCCCATCCCTGTCCCTCCCATATCTGCCCCC